TCTCATACTCCTGGAGCAGCAGAGGAAGCAGGAGAGTCAGGAACAGGAGGAGGACACGGAACATGTGGCCAACTGCCTCCCTGAACAAGGGCCTCCTTTGTCATGAGACCAGAAGAAGCTGCCATCACTGAACATTCTGATCAAAAGATTCTATGGAAGAATCCTGATCAAAGACGGGATCATGTAGAACAGAATTTCAAATCCTCATGGAGCCCTGACTCTCTGGGCTATGGAGGGTGGGTAAACATCTGAAACTACCACTCTGAGAAAATCTTTAAACTGTAAACCAAAAACATCCCCTGAAATCTTAAAATGAAACAACAGTTTAGCTTAACTAGTTAAGAATGTCTGCCTTGAACATAATGGTCTTCTCAGATCTATCTGTAGGGGATCAAACTGACAACAGCAGCTCAAAAGACAGGAAACTTATAGGGTAGTGAATTTATGTTACTGACGGGGAAACACTCAGAAAAGAGGGAGAGAATGGGCGCTTAACTCGAGGAATGTGATCAATGTCACTGAACTATCCATGTTGAATTGGTGTATATTTTGCTATGTATATTCTCAACAATAAAAAGTAAAACAAAATTTTTTTACAAAAGTAAGTTTTTACTTACAATGAGATTAGAAAGTGTTGTATCAGGGAGATGGTAAGCAAACATTTCAATCTGTTCAGCAGTTGGATGAAGACCGGCTGCCTTTAGCAAAAGAAATACCAACCATTAGTGGATTTAAAAAAAAAAAAGGACAAATTTTATTATTTCAAGATAGAGCCCTACATTCAGTTAAGCTCTCACCAAATGAGTTAAATGCCAAGAATTTGGGTGAAATAGAGAAAACCATCATCACTATACCTCTTAGTACCAAGCTAATGAGATAATTTAGTAAAACTAAAAATGATGCCCATGGAGTAGTCTTCTGCTCACATTTAGTCATATTTCTAAAACTGATGACTAGTATACTACCAAAAACTGCTTTCCAGTGTAAATTCTCCAAGTCTCAGTTCTCCTAACCAAACAAAAATGAAAAAAGAAACCCCAATCTCTTTAAGTAGAGAAATAAAATGGATATATATACATACATACATGAGAAGATGTCTAAATTAGAGTCTATTATCTCTTTAGCTGTATAACTGCAGTGTTAAGAAATTACCACAGGTGAATACAAGGAATGCAGAAAAAAACAAGAGAGAGAAAAAGGAATGGGAAGAAAAAGAGGAAAGACAAGAGATACGAGGCAATGAGGCATCAGAGGAAGGAAGAATATGAGCAAAGAACTGTGGCCCATGGGAGAAAATGGTGTGCCATATACCCTGAGAGCCATCCAGGAACCTAACCACACTTTTAATAAAAGCTGCAGAAATTATCTCAATCACAGCTTTCCTCCAGGAATGCTTTCCTGCATCATGTAATATACAGTCCCTTTTACCCAGAGTAACTGCAAACTGAGATGAGCCTTGTAAGTGAATTTAAAATTTAAACTTAAATTTAAACTATTTTTAAAAAGTTATTACTGTGTTCTTCTTTATGAGGATGGAAATTTTGGTAACAGATATCGGTGATGGCTACACAACTAGATGTTGGCTGGCTAATATAACTGGTGTCACTGAATTGTACACGGGAAAAATGTTGGGCTGGCAAATGTGTTACCTGTATTTTCACACACACAAAAAAAGTGATTTTATTTAACGTAAGTCCACCTCTGACTCATTAACTACACTAATCGAAATTTAACTTCGTCCTCATTGGCCTAAAGGTATTTTGCTTAGTGCTACTTCCTCCACACTCAAGGTTTCTTCTACATTCTGTCTGCGGCCTGCACGTCCACCTCAAGTAACTATGCCTGTTCACTGCTACTTGATTCCAGAAAGAACTGGAAGGAAAGGCAGGTTAACCAAACTCGTTCAAGCTAGGTCTTATACTTGCACATTGTTCTCTGACCCAGGAGTCTCTATACCACTAACAAATCAATGAAGTAGGGTTTTCATCACACTCACACACACAATTTTTTTTTTTTTTTGAGGTTTATTTATGTTTCCAAGTATCTGAGGCAAGAGTCTGAATGGTGGGTGAAAGAGGGAATAACAGTACTCCACAGACAATTAACACATTACACCTTACCCTTATAGGTTCCACAGGTCTAGTCAAAATTTCCTTCAATAAATTAAGGTCTTCACGATTCATTGTTGTAACCTCTCCTTCTTTAAATTTCGAGCCAAATCTACCAGCTCGACCAGCAATCTGCAGGGCTTGAGAGGTGGTGATTGGTTCTATTTCTTTCTCTCCCTTTTCATTAATACTGGGCTTTATAAGAGAATAAAAAATAATTCTTCTTATGCTCCTGAAATAGAAATAAAAGTGATCTCACAGATTGTGTATGAAAAGACTTCAATCACTTGGGTCATCACATAAACCCTCATTCCAGTTCTAGTGGAGGCCTACTTGCAATCTCACCCACCATTTAAAACATAAGGAAACTTGAAGAATGTAACCAATGTCAACAAATTATACATGTAGAAATTGTTGTATGTATTTACCACCAAAAAAAGGAAAAGCAATTTGTTGGTAATTCTTCTTCAAATAGTATTTTTCAACAACTATGTGAATTTACTAAAACTCATTAAACTGTATACTTAACAAGTAATTATGGTATGTAAATTATCCCTCAGTAAAACTATAAAAATTATGTATTTTTTTAACAAATAATCCAAACAAAGTGTTCTTAGACTACTTTTAAAAAGTTGACTGCTATTAATGACTATTAATAGTTCTATGGTTCTTAACAGTACAGCTGCCTTGATTACCTAAAGAAGAATAATTAGGGATAACCTAGTTAACCCTAGGATAATGGTTAGTCTCACATACATAATAGACACTCAGGCACCTGTTGATTGAGACACTGAAATCAAACTGAGGTAACATAATAGGTTATCAGTGGGCTCAAAAGCCCTAGTGCCATATGGTATTTTCTTTTTATTCCCTCAACACGTACTTGCAAGATAAATCTCAGATCTACACTAAAATATAAGAGCCCTGGGTGGTGCAAATAGTTAAGTGCTCAGCTGCTAACATCAGGGTTGGTGGTTCAAACCCATCCCGTGGCTCCGCAGGAGACCTGGTGATCTGCTTCTGTAAAAATTACAGCCAAGGCTTCCAGTAAGATGACAGAATAGGCAGACAAGCTTAACAGATGCTCTTTAACAAAGAAAAGATAAATCAATTAACACAGATACAGGAGATAATCCTGGAACCCTGAGCTTTGAAAGGAAGGATATAGAAGTAGATCAGTGCCTAAGGCATTTGACTGCTAACTAGAAGACTGACAGGTCAAACTCACCAGCCACTGCTCAGAAGGAAGACTGGGCAATCTACTTCTGTCGAGATACTTCCTCAGAAACCCAAGGACAGGTTGCTATGAGTCAGACCGACTTGATGGCAGTGAGTTTTTGTTTGAGTAGAAGAAACTGAATGAAAACAGTGCATAAGGAGGCAACGGAGCTGCAGACTGTCAGCAATCCTGACCGCACAGTTTGGATATTTCTAATCGGTGTTAGTACCTGAGAATTAACATAAAAATCAGCCCTGCTCACCAAGGACCGCATGGACAACTGCACTCGTGGCTGATGATTAAAAAGGAAAATAGCAAAGAATGAGACAAACTGAGCTGTGGACTTCTGGTTGTCCAGAGGGCATAGCCATCTTGAATGTTTATAAGTGGTTTGGCCATTTTGGATATTTAAAGCGACAGTGTTCTTGTTCAGATTCCAGGGACCTAAGAATAGGCTCCATTTTCCAAGGGCAGCACAGATATCTTGGAAACTGACAACTGGAAAGGAGACAGGTGGTGAGTGCATAAGTGCTGCCAACTAGCAAATAGAGGGGCCCAGTACCCTGCTTACTTAGATAACATTCAAACAAAACAAAGAAGATGAAAATCTTGGCAAATCACTGTAACATACAATCACCAATTAAAAATAAACACAAAAATGCCACAATGTCTCAGAGACAACAGAGTATCACAGTCCACACAAAGAAGCAAGATAAAGCAGTAGAAACAAAGGACCAGGATGCAGACCCAGAACACATACTTGAGGAAGCAGCAGCACTGGAACTCCCTGAGATAAGGAACTCAAAAGAATTTATATTTAGGTACCTTCAATGGATTGAGAGACAGATCAAGGAACACACTGACAAAATTAAGGAAAACACAGACAAAACCCGAGAACAATTTCACAAGACAGCACAAGAACAAAATGACAAAATAAATGAAAAAATCAGAAATTATACACAATCTACAGAAATGAATCCAGAAGATCAATACTAAATTTTCAGAAATAGGTAACACATTGAATGAGCAAAAGAGCAGAATTGAATCAATGGAAGACAGAATTACTGAGACTGAAGACAAATCCTCAATACTTCTTTGGAAAGGCATCAATCAGAAAAAAGATCAAAACAAAATGAAGAAAGCCTAAGATTCATGTGGGATACCATCAAGAGGAATAACCTATGTGTAATCTGAATTCCAGAACAAGAAGAGACAAATAAAACCACTGAAAACACTGTCGAAGGTTTGTTGGAAGAGAATTTCCCTAATATGATGAAAGATTAGAATATATCCATTCAAGAAGTCCAATGAACCCCAAACAGGATAGACCCCAAAAGAAAATCACCAAGACATATCATCATCAAACTCACTAAAAAACCAAAGATAAAGAAAGAATCCTGAAAGCAGCATGGGAAAAACAAAAAGTTACCTACAAAGGGCAATCAATAAGACTAAACTCGGATTTCTTGGCAGAAACCATGCAGGCAAAAAGGCAATAGAATGGTATATATAAAACCCTGAAAGAGAAAAATTTGCAACGAAGAATTATATACCCAGCAAAATTGTCCCTCAAATATGGTGAAATTAGGACATTTCCAGATAAGCAGAAACTAAGGGAATTTGTTAAAACCAGACCAACCCTACAAGAGAAGCTAAAGGGAATCCTTCGGACAGAGAACCAACAACAGCGAACAACAACTGACCATTAATGCACATAATGACATAACCCAGAAACCAACCCAGTTACGGAACTATCCAAACTAAAATAAGCTTACAATTTTGTAAACAGGGAACCAGAGTCATCAATTGGCAAATGAAGACAACTACAAACCAAAAAGAGGGAAAAAACAGTGTAGTTCAGAACTTCTAAATGCTGAGGAAGTCAAGGCAGAATAGACTATTCTAACCTATTCTAAACTTGTGAAGAAAATTATAAATCACAGGGTAACCTCAAAGAAAACTGATAAACTGATAAACCTTCATACCAAATGAAAAATTACACCCAAGAAAATCCTATGGGGCAGTTCTACTCAGTCACATGGGGTCATTATGAGTTGAAACTGACTAGATGGACACCTAAGGACCCCTGGTAGTGCAATGCCTAAGGCATTTGCCTGCCAACCAGAAGGTTGGCGGTTCAAACCCGCCAGCCTCTCTGCAGTAGGAAGATGAGGCAATCTACTTCTGTAAAGATTTATTGCCTCAGAAACTCAATGGGAGTTACTATGTGTCAGAATTGATTCAATGGCAGTGAGGTTTTTTTTTTTTTTTTAAGATGGACACCTAACAAAAACATACTATAATACCCATTCTCCTAAATCAAAGTATTTGGTCATTCTAATGCCGATCAGAAAACTGAAAGGAAGGGAAGAAAACAACAACAACAACATTAAACCCTATTAAATACAAATTACTTACAAATTAAGTCCCATGCCAATTGCATCGGTAGCTACTAGGATTTTGCATGGATCATTGGGATCATTAAACTTTTTGGCTTGAGCAAGTTTGGTCCCTGAAATAAGAACAAGTATAATACAATTATGTTACATCAGTGTTCTCAGTCTTTCACTACATTACACTAAGTGTATTTTGGAAACTTTCACCTCCTGCTCATTCCACTGTTATGGATAAAACTCTCAATGTTTCAAATGTATTTCTTTACATCTTCAATAGAGGCACTTATCCTTTACTCCCACCCCTTAGACACTCCCCCAAGTAGCAACCCAATCCCTTTCCACACTAGCCTTACCATTTCTGAGAACATTTACTAACAGATTTCAGGACTACAGCTTGAAGGTTATGACCAAGTCCATCTTTTAATGACATTTTGGTAGGAAAATCATAAAATTAACATTTAAAATACAGTCTATTAATAGCAGCAAATAACAAGAACTATAATTAATTCAAAAACACTTCTATTCCCACCAAGATGAATGAAAGAAATACTTATTTTATATGATCTATACACCAAAGTACTCATCTACTAAGCAGCTTACTTCAATATTTTTTACTGTGTTTTCTATACATATCTTGACATAAACTCCAAAAGGAAGAGATTTCATATCTCGTCATGATGAAAGTCAATAATTACCAGGTGGGAGGCTGCCATATATCACAGCTGATTCCAATCCCCGAATTTCAATCTGGCGACTCACAGAATAAATATCATTCTTGCTAAAACACACAATACAGTCCCCAGATCGAAGATTATCTAAAGATTCTAATGCATGATCCAGAATAGAAATGGGGGTGAGCCTGTCATAGTTCCGAACCTACAATAAAGACATGAGATTGTAAAATAACACACTTAATTCAGTTTCTTGTGAGTATTGAGACATCTGCAAAGCAATCAAGAGTAGCTAAAACTGACAGATTCCAACATTTTTTGAGGGAAAATATGAAACAGCACTTATTTGGAAATTACAAGTATTACAATCAGTTCTCATGGGCACTTCTAAATTAGTAGAATGTTATACAATGTTTCATAAACCTTCAAAGCAACTTCACATACATTTGAATTTCATGGCAACTTAGTAATAAATTCAGAAGGGTTGTTAAGTGTGATTTCCATTTTATGAAGGAGTAAAAGGGAGTGCAAGAAAACCAGATTTGAGGCTTTTCCCACTTCTAGCCTTTGGTGATCTGCTTAAGAATGCAAAGGTAAAACAACAGCAAAGCCCAAAATCTCTTCCACTATATCCTCTGTCTCACTCTCAAAGCTGAGCACAAAGCTAAAAAAAATTTGTTGTTGTTGTTGTTGTTGTTATGTGCCGTTGAGTTGGAAAAGACTCATAGCAACCCCTCCTTGGGTTTCCGAGGCAGTATCACTACGGAAATAGATTGCCCCATCTTCCTTCCGAGGAGTGGCTGATGGGTTTGAACCGCCAGCCTTCTGGTTAGCAGTCAAGTGCCTTAGGCACTATGCTACCACAGCTCCAAAGGAAAAAAAAAATTTTAATTAAAAAAAAAAAAGGTTTTTTAATTTTTAAAAAAGGAGGATTATAAGAAAACCACTAGTCCCTACTCTAGGGATTTTAGAAAGGGATACAAACTGTCCCCAGCATTTATATACATATGAAAGGCCCCAGTATCTGACACAGAGATCTTTGAAAACTACAAACTTTTAACTTGCCATTTTGCTAGGCCTCAAACTTCCAACATTCCTGATTTAATTCCAAACAGATCTGCTCAAATCCCAGAAAGTTTGGTCAAGAGAAGAGGAAGGCTCTCCTGTACTCCCGCAAGACTTAGGGTGTGATGGCTGCTCCACGGGCACTTTAGAACACGAGGTTCAGCTAAATATGCATGACCTACTCAACCATAAGGAAATCTTGCCACTATCTGGGGCCTATGAAGCCACTGCATCGGTCCTCTGGACCATGTATTTGGTATGCCACCTTCAGAATGAAGCACATGATCTAGTACCTCCACCTCCTCCCCAGTCGTGTACATGAGCTCAGTGACCAGGTCAATAGCAGCAGATTCTCCACATAAATGGACTTCTCCAGCACAGAGTCCTATAAACGCAAGATTGGGATTTTTTTTCAATCTTAAAGATATTAATATTAAATATGCAACACTTTACTCAGCAAATATACATTTGATTACCAATCGCTCTGCAGCTTTACCAAGGATTTTCACAAATTTCTTTCTTTGGCTCATACCTTAGAACATCTACTTTCTCAAGGGCAATGATTATCTCTATTTTTAGAAATCTCAGGGGATTTTAAATTACATTGGCCAAGGGTTTGAGTCAGCCAGGATTACAACCTGAGATTTCAATGTTCAGTACTGAACTTTAACCCTAGACTTCTGTTTTTCTGATTAGGCTCCATGGAATCACTGAGGTACCTGAGAGGTTGAGGGGCTGGAGGGTGAAAGAACTCCAAGTTCCTTACCCCGAGCAGATCCACTTTCATCTGCTTTAATAACAGGCTTCATTGTATACTCTGAAGATAGAGCTCAGCTATTTGTTTTCATATTGGAAAACACCTGCCCTACAATATGCTGATCAAAAATTCACTCCAATATCAAGCAGGAAAAATGTTCATTCTGTTCATGGACTTCAAGAACTCCACTTCCAGGAGTCTATCCTAAAGAAATAATAAGATCAATAAATAAAAACAAAAAGCTATGGCCACAAAGATGCCTACTGCAGCATTATTAATAATAGGGGAAAATGTTCACCAATATGGTAACAAATTACGATACAGCTCTTCAATGGAAAATAATCCAGTCATATTTGTAAATGTCTAAAAAATGGCTACAAAACAAGAGAATGGGAAAAAGCAAGATACAAAATTAAATGTTTACAAAATACCACATGCACAAGAAAAAAACACTAGCTTGAAATACACTAAAATGTTACTACTAGTGGTTGTGCGTCTTATATGGTAAGATTTGAGAACTAATTTGAATTACCAAGTTATGCTAATTTTTAATAGGAAAAAGGAATTTCCCAGTATTAAAATAATATTTAGAGAACATAAACTTACACCTTAGCAGTCAGGGCTTTTTTGTTCAAAGTATGTAAGAAAGGATCTAGCTAGCTCTCCTGGCAATGTCAAGCAGACAAACGCAGCTCGGTGCAGATGTCACTACCCAGGTTTAAGAATACCAACCTAGAAGTGCTCTGGTCCAGGCCCATCCTCTAGCTGGATCTTTAATCATTTGAATTTCATCAATCACAGCCACTTCATCTTAAAATAAAGAAGTTATCATGAGCAATACAATCTACTTAAGCAATATTATAAACAAATTACAACACCAAAACGCAACCTTTCATTACCACCACCATCATCACTGTAGTAGTAGCTAATGCTTACTGGGTGCTTCTTACAGGCTTACTCTAAGTGCTTTACAGTGCAACTCATTTAATCCTCACAACAAACCTACGAGGTAGGTATCATTATCTCCAGTTTACAGAAAAGTAAACTGAGGCCCAGAGAAGTTAAGTCACTTGCCTAAGGTTCCAAAGTTAAGTGTAGGGATGAAATTCAAACCCAGGCTGTTTAGCTCCAAAGTCCATAATCTTCACCACTACGTTGCACCAACTCTAAAACTGAGCAGGTTCATCTGTCCTACTTTCTGTAATCTCAGAGGCAGCCTGAGAGTCTCCCTAACAAGTATTAACACATCTGATAAGCAGAAAAATAATTATCTCTGCTTCCAGGAATAAGGAGTAGATAGCCTTGCAGGAAATGAAGCATCTCTACCACAGAAACCAGACTGTTCTCAGAAGCAGGAAGTGAACTGGAGGATGTAATTCTTTGGGCTTCAGCTACGCTCATTCATAAGGGTCTTAAGCCTCCTCACTAGGGCAAAAAGTGGGGCCCCATCTTATTTTCTAATGCCAATGTATGTGTTAGAATCCCAACTCCTATACCTGTGGATGTAATCCTGTTTGGAACTAGGGTTTTCTTTGTTATGTTAACTAGATTATACCTGAGTAATGTTGATGCTAATTCTGATCACTTCTGACTTATAAAAAAAAGCTAGATTAGACACGTACACACACATGCACACATATAGAAAGACAGATGCCATGTGAGGATTCTCAAGGAATGCCCACAGCTACCAACAAGAAAGGAATCAACAGGGCCAAGACCCTTACTTGGGCTTTTAGCTTCTACAATCATGAAAAATAAAGCTCTCTTTTATAAAGCCACCCACTTGCCCTAGCTGCACTACAACAGCACTAGCTAACAAAGATATAGCTATTGGCTGCTTATTGTACCATTCTCTTATTTCTCAGTTTTTAAATTTTTTTCATAATAAAAATCATATTTCACAGAGATATATTTTAAAATAAAAATCCCACTAAACCATAAAGTTTTTTTGCTTTGTTTTTTTTTTTTAATGGATGATATTAGCATTTACTTTTCAGAAATGAGACAGCTGCTCTCTAGCATACCAGCTGCTAGGACTAATTATTTCCATGAATCTTTGGTTTTCTTCATTCTTCTTTGCTCTGGACGAGGAGAGACCCATCGTTGCATCCAGATGGCTGCCTGCAAGCTTTTAAGATCCCAGTCGCTACTCACCAAAGTAGGAGGTGGAACAATGTTTTGTGTAGTATGTTATGCCAATTGAGGTTGATGTCCCCTGCAACTATGGTCCCAAGCCCACAGGTTCAACTACTCGCTCCCTCTGGGTAGCTGGCTGTGGCCAAGAAGTGACTACAACCTTGTCCCTAAACCATAAGGTTTTTTAAAATGACATATACGTACAAGGAGTTGTAACACTGCACATTTCAACAGTACAAGCCACGTGGGCAGCCTGTTTCCCATCTGGCTCTACTGTCACACGCTCTTCACCTGTTACCAAGTCACATGGCACCCCCTACGATGAGAAAAAGAAACCAGAATTATTTTCACCCTGAAAAAAATAGCAAGAAGAAACCTGAATGTTAAAGACAGAATCCTCTCTATTACCATCATATTTATTTAACAACTGAAAAAAAGTATTCCCCACGTTTATATATTTTTATATAAAAAATAAAATAAATAAGTAAATAAAATCACTCTCTAACATAACACAGACAAATTTGGAAAAATCTCAAATGAGTCAAATCCTCAGCTAACAACAAAAACCCATAAAAAATTATAGCAGTTTCATTTTTTAACTTCGTAAGTTCTGTACTTTTTGAGTTTATAAAAACCAATATGAATAATTTCTATAATCAAAAATTTAAGAATATAAAAGCCTCCTGGTATTATGCCCTGAGGACCAACATCGATACTGTGGTCTATCAGAGTAACCAACCATTCTGGTTTAAGATTCCCCAAGAAGCAGGATTTTCGGTGCTAAATTCAGGAAAGTTCCAAGATAAACAGGACAGCTGGCCACCCTAGTGGCCTAAATCTCATTATGAGAAAACAGCAAACATATCCAAACCGAGGAACAATTTATAACACAACTGACCTGTACCCTTCTAAAATGTAAAGGTTATGGTACACAATGGAAGACTGAGGAACTGCCCTACATTAATGGAAACTAGAGACATAACTAAATACAACGTGAGACCCCAGACAAAATCCTGAACCAGGAAGAAAAATGGGTAGCATAGTGCCTAAGGCACTTGACTGCTAACCAGAAGGCTGGCGATTCAAACCCACCAGCCCCTCCTCGGAAGGAAGGTTTGGCAATCTACTTCCGTAGTGATATTGCCTCAGAAACCCAAGGAGGGGTCGCTGTGAGTCGGGTCTGACTCGACGGCACATAACAACAACAGCTGTTTTCTGAGGAGGCAGAAAAAATGGGCTCAGAGAGTTTCATCTGTATCAGTAAAATTTTATTTCTTGATAAAGCAAATGAAGTAAACATGGCAAAACATTAGGATCTGATGGAATTGGAAAGGGGGACAAAGTTATCATGTACTTACCTGTACAAGTGAAATAGTTCATAATTTTATATTTCATTCATTCTAATGTGCACATTTTTTCACATTTTAACATCTTTGAAATCAGAACTCATCTTAAGAATTGGGCATGTCAGAATTCAGTTGGCAGCATCTTTTCCTTTCTTTAAAAAAAACAAAAACACACCTCACTGCCATCAAGTCAACTGCGACTCATAGCAAGCCCTCCTTGAGTTTCTGAGGTGTTATCTCTATGGAAGTAGATTGCCCAATCTTCCTTCTGAGGAGTAGCTGGTGGGTTTGAACCACCAGCCTCTGATTAGCAGTCAAATGCCTTAGGCACTGCATATAAAATAATGGTACTTCTTACAATTGATGGCTTCTTAGGTTCGATGACATACAGTAATTTTTTGTTCACAGTAAATTACTAAATATGACTTCTCCCCAACTCCCACCTTTATTCTATCCCCATAAAATATCACAAAAAGAAAGATCAGATACTTGGTAATATACTGACAGCAGTATTAGTCTTTTCAAAGATCTCATGTGCTAGCAATTTTAAAGGACCACAATACACTCCAGATTTTGCTGACAAGTATTTCTGGATTGCATGATAAGTCTTTCCACTGTTTGTGGGGCCCGAATGGAAGATTATCTTCCGCCGTATGGCTCTGGCTTCTGGGTACCTAAAACATGAGTAGAGAAATGGCTTAATTCCACTAACCTCAAATCCACCTTGGCAAAGCTGTCAACTGAAAAAAATTCCAAAGGAAATACCCACTTGACACTCACAAGATAGCATCTTTGAAAAACTAAACAGGTTTCATATTCACATTAAAAGGACTGATTTCTAAAAATGGCATCTACTAACTGTTCTAGACAGAAAATCAAATGTGTATTAATTTCTTGGATATTTTTCCCGCTTTAAAAATCCCTTCATCGCCAAAGTTCTTTAAAACAAGTCTAAACTGCTAACCGCACGTAAATATGTTCCCATCATCCCCAAAGCGCTAAGCTAATGCAGGCTTCTGAATTTCAGGGTAAGTATGACTAAGGCTTCTGCTTCTGGCCATGATGAATAACTGGTACTGGACTCGCCCTTGCACCAAAACCAAGTACAAAACTGGACAAACTAAATGTGGCAACTGTTTTGGGTATGAACAAGAAGCAGTGCAGGACTACTATCTCTGAAAGAAGGGTGACTGGAGATGAGCTCTACTGCATCACAGACAGGAGGGCACAGGGAGGGGGTCCAAGAAGAGAACCAAAGTCCCATTGCCCTGAGAAGGCAAAGACCAAGTTCAGAGCTGAAGAAGCAGCTGAAATTGGAAGGGCAGAGTGTGAAAAAGAAAGGGTACAGGGAAGGAGAGCTCTGAAGGCCGTGTGGGGGTTCCACGTGGTCCTGGGCTGGGCTAACATGTGTGAGACTTGGAGAGATCTAGCAGAGAGCAGCTCGCTACAGAATGGAGTGGAAAGTCTCAAAGCAGTCACTGAGTGCTAAGAGATGTGGGAGTTCCAGCCAGCTGAGACACCAGAAAGGCCACACCTTAGAAGTAAAGATGACAGTCTAACTTAATGGCTACCCTAGGTCTATATTAGGAGCTTTGGTAGCTTAGTGCCTAAGGCATTTGACTGCTAACCAGAAGGCTGGTGGTTCAAACCCACCAGCCACTCCTCGGAAGGAAGATGGGGCAATCTACTTCCATAGTGATACCGCCTCAGACACCCAAGGAGGGGTCGCTGTGAGTCAGGTCCGACTTGACGGCACATAACAACAACAACAACAAAGGTGTATAGTAAGGAGGCCTAAAATCAAGCCTGATCAGGATCAAGGGGAGCCGCCAGTTAACTGCCAACCAGAATTAACTGCCAGTTTTTCCAAGGAAAACAATATAATCCAGATTCTTTACAATTTATCATCGAGTATACAATAAAAAATAAAATGATTACTAATCTCCCAAGTCAAGAAACTAAAGTATCTCAAATCAAATGAAGACACTAACCAGTTTGGTGGTATTCTTAAGTCACTGATTTTACGCAGATCATCCTTACACTCCAACACAGGAAATATCTGTTTTGCATGTCTCAAGAAAAATGGAAATAAATCATCCACATGAGCTGTAAAATAAAACACTGTGTTAACATGTGTAATCTACATGTTATCCATAACTGAAGCTGGTGGAAACTTTTTCTTACTGAGCTTAGTGAAGATGACATTGTCAGCATAAAAAGAAAAATCCTGGAGGAGGCAGCTCTATCCTTTTCAGGGATCTTCCTCTATCTTACGTTCCTCCTAATTTCATTATTATTTTCTAAGAACACAAAAAACTGTCTGCCAACCACCATATTCTAATTATCTACAGCCAACAGACAAAAATCAGCATAGCAAAAGTTAAGATAAAAATAAAGAATCTGGATATACACATTAGAAAGGAAACTTGTGATTTTAAAACATTTAACCATTTTAAAGCATGTAATATTTTTTAAACACTGTTTGTGATTTTTCAAAGATCACAGAGACACAAACATAAAAGTAAATTAATTCCTCAGCAAGAATTCTCCACACCACAGTGGCTCTGAGCCAAGGGTGGGGCTATGTCCCATTTTGCTTTGTATCCAATTTCTGCTCAGCACCTGGCACAAGGTAAAAGTTTAATGGTCAAATATATTTTAAAAACATAACCAAAGTCAAACTGCCTATGGAAATAAAGTAATAATGTTCTTACTTTTTTCTTTTCTTCTCTTGTAGCAAGAGGTTTGTCCTGACATGAGAGAGAAAGAAGCTAAGGCAGAAACAAATCTAATCTGCTATGTGCTGATTCTATCTAGTGTGAGAGCTCATTTCACTGAGGTAGATACTAAAACGCAGCAGGGAAAGGTGATGGTAGATCAAGGCCCCAGTCCTCAAGTCTAAGACATATGGGTGATTTAATAACTGTTGTTGTTGTTATGTGTCATCGAGTCGGACCCAACTCATAGCGACCCCTCCTTGGGTTTCTGAGGCAGTATCACTAGCTCAGAAAAAAAAAACAAAAAAAACTCACTGCCATCGACTCATAGTGACCCCTCCTAGGGTTTCCAAGGCAAAGTATATTACCCTATCTTCTTTCTGAGGAGTAGATGGTGGGTTTGAACAGCCAGCCTTCTGGTTAGCAGTCAAGTGCCTTAGGCACTACACCACCAGAGCTCCTAAGTAGCTCAGAGACCCACTATATAAAGCAAAACGACCTAGAAAGTCTTCTATCAAAGCACTGAATTATTTATAGGTAATGTTACTCAGACTTGGTACCACCAAACTGGTTAATGTTAGGTGGGCCCAGGGCTGGTGGCTGCTTTTCGCTTGGGGGCCGCTCTTTATTAAGGCTGGGACCTGAGGTAGGCAAGCCTGGGGCTTGGAGGCTGCTTTTCACTTGGAGATGGCTCTATATTAAGGTCAGGGCCTGAGGCAGGTGGGAGGCTGCTTTTCACTTATGTGTGGCTATTAGGCCAGTGCCTAATGTAGGCAGGCCCAGAACTTGGAGTCCAGGGCCTGAGGTAGGTGAGCCAGGCTTGGGGGCGCCTTTTCCCTTATGGGTGGCTCTATTTTAAGGTCATTGCCTGAGGTATGCAGGTGCTGAGGGGTTAGGAACAACTAAGGGAGACGAACTTGTCTGTCAGTTTGTCATCCTGTGGTGACTTATGTGTTCCTATGAGACTGGAGGGTAAGCCACCATGTTGCAAAATGCCAGCATGGCTACCCATGGTGGGCAGGTTTCAGTGGAGCATCTGAGCTAAGACAGATCTGAAGAAGGAAGAGGCCATTCACTTCTCAAACAATTGGCCAGTGAAAACTTATGAATAGCAGTGAAACACGGTCTGATATATTACTAGAAAACTTTATGAACAGCCCTGAAACACTGCCTGATATAGTGCCAGAAGATGAGCCCATCAGGTCAGAAAGCACTCAAAATTTGACTGGGGAAGAGCTGACTCCTCAAAGTAGAGATGACCTGAACAATATGGATAGAGCAAAGCTTTTGGGACCTCCACTGGCTGATGTGGCATGACTCAAAATGAGAAGAAACAGAGCAAACATCCATTGATAATTAGAATAGGGAATGTATGCAGTAAGAATCTAGGAAAATTGGAAGTTGTCAAAAATGAAATGGAATGCATAAAGATCAATATCCTAGGCATTAGTGAGCTGAAATGGACTGGTTTTAGCCATTATGAATCAGACAACCATATGATCTACCATGCCGGGAATGACAAATTGAAGAGGAATGGCGTGGCACTCGTTGTCATAAAGAATGTTTCAAGATCTGTCCTGAAGTACAATGCTGTCAGTGATAGGATAATATC